CTTGAATCGTCGACGACCGAGTCCTTTCCGATCGACTCGATTCATTGGCACTGCGAAGGGATGTTGCATCCCTTTCCATTTTCTTTCGCATCTACCACGTAGAGTGCTCTGAGGAATTGTTCGGATTAATCCCAGCCGCCAAATTTCACGAACGCACATCGCGGCAGAACTCCCGATACCATCCACACAATCTGGATGATTGGCAGTCAACCACTGTGCAATTTAGATGTTTTCTTCCTCCCACGACTTCCTTGTGGAATCGATTACTATCAGCGATTTTTCCGGACCGATACGACTTAGGGACCTTCAAGAAAAGAGCGTACTCCTTTTTAAAAGGCCAGCAACGCATCTGCAATTCCCTCCCTGGTGTTGCAGTTGTTCATGGGCGGCGGTAGTCACTTACCATCAGGTGAGCTGCATGCTCGTTACCCCCCTCTCATATAAAAAATATATAAATAAAAAAGCTTGCTATATATTTATTTATCTATAATTTCGAAGACTGCTTAATAAAAAATAAATCATTTGAAATCATAATAACTTCACTCCATATAATAAATTAATATGATGAGGAGACTGATTCTGTCCAATTCCAAACGTGGTGCCACGCATTCTTGCTTCTGTATGGAACGGAACTTACTCAATTTATGACAACGAAATAAAATGCTAGAAAAATCTGGTATTTTCCGATAGATATCTCGTTTACATCAGACGTAATATTGTTTCTTTGGTCTAGTAGTCATAACCGCGACTGCTGATCATGGGATCCCGGGTTCGAATCCCGTGACTAGCCAAATACAGTTATTGGGTTTTTCTGTTACACATTTTCAATAGCAGCCCGGAATTAGGAAGTTGGCGGTGTTTCGTCTCTGTGGCTCGTAAAGCACGAAAAATCGAGTGGTCGTGTCGGATTGACGTTCCATCGAAATATGAGTGCACCTACGCTTATGCATACATTCTGGAACTATAATCCTACCCAGCGCAGGTGGTTAATCTCCGTCGAGACTCACCGCCGGACAGATGTTCGGTCTGATGGACATTATTATTAATAGATACTAACTGGCGCAGTTTTTTTATATAAGGTTGACAAGCAACCACTTACCATCAGATGGAACTTGCTGGTAAGTGGTTGCTGTGCCCATACACATCTCCATCGTTTGCGAATTGAAATGCAGATGCGTTGTTAGCCGTGAAGACTAAAATGGAATGGAATGCCTCTATTCCAGTAAAAAGGGTCTCCGGTTCTCTACACTCACCATAGGAATCACAGCAGCATTAAGCTGCTATATTACGCTGGTATTCTGTAAGAGCGTCATTCCCCGGTCGTGCACTAATGGTGCTACAACTAAGTATACAATTATGTAATATAACTGCAACATGGCTCTACCAAGTCAAAGTTGAGAAATGTCTGTTGTTGCGATCGTCAAGCCTTCTCATCTATCATCTATGAGCCATGACACCTTGGAAATTTTCTGTGAGAACTACTAGACTCTTGGGTCATCCATGCAACTCTAAAGAGGCACATATTAACCGATTCGTTGCGACACCAGTCTTCGAAAACTTGCTAGCTGTGGTAGAGTACAAATAATCCGGTGACACGCCTGTCGTGTCAAGTGCCACAGAAGTTGATGACACATCTATATGATAACAGCCATGTGTCCTTTATATGCTTTTTTACTTTTTTAGACCTGTTTAGTTGCAAACGGTAGGCTACTTGTTTTAAGTGCAAACTACACGGTTTCCATGACTTTTCATAATTCTTTTTAGAATAAATCGAAACCGCAAGTATATCCTTGAGATAGAGATTGATGACGAATTTGATTCACCTTCTCTTTTATTAGGTCGTACTGGTCAACTGCTGGATACAGGTCTCAGTCACGCAGGCAGATAGACGATCAGCTATACATGTGCCTCATGTCCGGGGATATTTATTATATGCATGGCATATAAGTGTGCGGCGAGGCAGCTATATTATGACTGTAGCACGAATGGTTCGGCTCGAGCGGAGAAGGTGATCCTTCTCCGATTCTCTTTCACATCTCAGAACCGGAGACAGATTATAATAGTTACAGGCTGTGGAGACATCCCATCTCAAATCGTAAGAGGTGCCAACGCATCTGGATCTTGAATGCTAATCGATAACAGATGAGATGTCTATAGACCTAAGAACCTGCTTACCATGATATGCGTTACTACCTCTGTTAGATCTGTGCTTACTATCAAGTTTCATGAACAAATCTCTGCTCATGAGATAAGCTACTTACTTAAAAGTTAAACTGTCTGTATACTAGCTGTACTGCTAGATGTTCGGTGCATACTTTGCACGCGTGTAATTTATTAAGATTGGTTGATTTCATGGGTTTTAAATTTCGTTGCGCGGAACCCTTATTCTTTTTCAAAAATAAAAGTAACTTATGTTACTCCTTATAACATCAGCTATCTGCCAACGATTTGCGTCAAAATCAGTACAATGATTCCGGAGATTAGCCGGAACAAACAAAAATTTTAAAAATTGTGTTTTTGTTTTAGGTACCGTACATACTTTCATATGCATTTAGTAAAAAGCTGTTATTTTGACATTACAGATACTTCAATTTTATTTATTTGGATAGATATACTAGCGACAATAGCACCTGAGAATGAGGTGATATATATTGAAAATAAAAGTTCCCCTGGATTTTTTATCTACTTTCTTCCAGGTCAGATACTTTTTTTCTGCTTTTCGTGCACTTGCAAATGCAATAATTCGTTTTTTCCTTGTTTACCTCTACACATAATATTTTCACATTTTTGGGGTTTTTCAAATGATACATAATTTTTTAATTTTATCGAATATGGTTTTTTATCAATAAGTCGGAGCCAAAGCTCAATATCTTATCGCTTCTGCACATAGTCGCGTTTCACCTATATGAAAATGTACTACTTACTCTTTATTCCATATTGCTTCACGACTTAATCAGATACTATAAAATATATTATACTGTATTGTATTAAGCGTCTCCCACACAGAAGCGGCTTGCGGTGGCGGCCAGTTGTATTCGCTTGCAATGTAAGTGTCTCCAAGCCCGTGCGGCCATGGCGCGGCTTGCGAGCGGCTGGCCGCAGCCGCATGCTCCGCCCCATTTGCCAATGGGTGTGTGTTAGCGAGTACACGGTCAGTCGGTGACCGCAGCGCGGTTAGTAGTAAATTTTTACAACAGGCCGCGTGAAAAATAGTGCTGAATTCAGAGATTTTAATAGAAACTGCAAAATTATCCAGTACTTTATGATAATTCGCATCGTGATCACAAAAGCATTAGCATTAAAAACAAAATATATGATAATATTGCTGAATATAATAAAGACTTCGTCACGGCTTGTCATGTTTACTAACGTCCGATCGTAGCATAGACACCACAGCGAATGGCGCTTCAGGCCGCCACTTCAGCCGCGGTGGTGTGTTGTTACAGCGGCTGCAGCCGCGGCCTGCGGTTAGCCGCCACCGCAAGCCGCTTATGTGTGGGAGACGCTTTACTCATGGTAGCTCAGGGGCAGTGCTTTTATTAAACTTCACAGAAGGCCAGATATTTGATAAGTAGGTATATATATATATATATATATACTTAAAGGATCTCATGATGAAAACTACATGATAAAAAATAAAAAAGAACGTGTGAAGTTAGCTCAATGGCATTGGAACAAAGTGAGCTATATGAACTATAAGTTAGTCATAAAAAGTAATATTTAATTACGAATCATTACACAGGATTAATCTATTTATTTTCAACAAATTATTACTCATACTTGAAATGCACATTTCAATTGTCCAACAATGTTCTATCTTCTCTCACATCTAAACGATACTACTAACATAATGCATTTATATAAAAAAATATTCTATTCATTTATGTATGCGTGAATTAAAATAAAGAATATAGAATTCACTTCACTAACATAAGGCAACACCTAGTTTTTCCTGTTAGTAGACTGAAATTAATTGTCTTTTTGAACCTTTTGAAAAATTGAACTAAATATGTTACAAAATGTCAATTTATTTAACAGTTAAATTACCAGCAATTGAATTAAATGAAAAAATGTATGTTTAATCTATAACATTAAATTTAATACATAAAAAATATACTCATGGATGTAAGTAAGGAAAAGTATGTGGTTTTTAGTTCACCAACACACTGTAAGATTAAGGGCAATATGGAAAGTTTAAAAAATAAGGCAATATGTTTATTATCTCCCATTGTAAGCTGTTTTACATTCAACACAGGCACATTCAACAGGGATAACAAAATAAAAAATATTCCGATTGATGAAATTCTAATTAACCACTGATTACTCGACAAGTTAGCAGGACCTCATAAACAAAGGAATAGATTGGAAAAAATCATCACAGCGGTGACGGGGTATATACTGTCGCGTGGGAGCGACGTCTAGCGTGCAACTGATGGACGAACAAGGGGTCGCTCCGGGGCCTCCACTCCTCCACATTGAAAACTCATAATACGCCAGCATCCAATTTATCTTTTTTTGTCAAATAAATCTGTACAAAATATATTAAATATATACTCTGTAATGCTAAAACTGTAACGCTACTCCTCAATAGTTCAATCACGATTATTAAATGATTTAAAAAACACAACTCTTCACGTGCAAGAACAAACATTTAACGTATCGGCGGGCGACGTATGTACAAGTGAACATTTCAGTCTCTCACGGGGGCGCCATGTGCGTGGTATAGCAAGCGGCACGGATTATGAGCGCTGACCTTCACTTGCGCAGTGACCGTTCTCAGGTCTTTTTGTAAAATGAGGTTAAGCGGACGGTCGACTAACTAATCCCGCATCCAATTATATCATTGTTCAGTACTCAGTTATTGATGCAAGCGCCATACGAGTTCAAGAACACAATCGCCGCACCATAATTGTCCAGCGTTTAGAACTCGTGCCATCTCCTATACTTAAGTGTGGGTGTTGGGATCCTTTGCTTAGAGTCCGTTTGTCGTGCGCGGGCGATTAGTTGCGCTCGGAGTCGTCGCAGTCGCGCGAGATGTGGCCCGGCTTGCCGCACACGTAGCACGTCTTAGTGCCGTCAGGGCAGTTGCGCGAGATGTGGCCGGCCTTGTTGCACGTGTAGCACGTCTGGCCGGAGCTGTCGCGGCCGCCCTCCGGGCAGTTGCGCGCGATGTGGCCCGTCTTGTTGCAGTTGTAGCACGACGGCTCGTCGGGGCTCTGCGCGCACTCGCGCGCTATGTGGCCCGTCCCATTACATCTGCAATGCGACACCAATCGCTTTACTCATTTCATTTCAATATTATTCATTTCATACTTACTAATAATAACCTAAAATTCAATCAGCCCATTAAAGTCCTCAAGCAAACTTTGCCTCACAGGGGGATTATTTGCCATATTTGCTATGTTAGGTGGGCAACAATTTAAAAATGTTGCTGCCCAACTATGTCGCAGTTTCCCTCTGCCCTGTCGCCTCTTACCAACACATATGTGATGATATTATGAGGTAGTTGATTTTCTAACCTCACCAGATAAATTCTCTCTTACGCAGTGGAAAACAGAATATTGACAACATTTTTTCAAAAGCCAAATGTGTGAGCATCGTGGTGTCCTTTGAATGACATGAATTAAAATTCTATTTCTTGAGAGTAGCATAAGACTTACCAGTATAGGAATATCGGTCATGTGTTCACTAATATACCTTAGAAACAAGCAATTAAAAAAGAACATATTAGGTAATGCATTATTGGAAAGGCAACATTTAGAGCAATGGACTTACGAATTAACAGCATCAGGTGCAGGTCTAGCACTGTGCATGTCAATCTACCCTACAATTCGAGAGACCCAGCTGTGGACTTTTATAGGCTGATGAAGAAATAAGAATTGTTTGCGCTAACTACTTGCTCCTCCTACCTAAGACTTTTACTCCAACAATATGTATACAATCAGATTGAGATAAGCAGTAGCAATAGGTATTAAATACACAGAATAATCACAACTCACCTAAACCAAAAAAGTGAAAACCAACAATGTTTGTTTTTGTTCAAATATTGATTTTAACGAAATTTTGAATCTTGGACTCGCAAAGTAACAGATAGACTCCAATCACAAGGCCATTCAGTAGTCATGTAAAATATTAGATTAACTACAAGGCGATTGTACACATAGAGGGATTAAAAGTATTTTATTACAGGCAAGGTATTGGATGACAAAAACATGTGTATACAGACTAAACAGTGGTAGTTGGGGGACACAAACGTCACTTATTGACACTGGGTGGAACGCAACTAAGGTAACAGGTCAAGTTCATGTCGGTGACTATGAGCAGGTTATTAAGGAAATTACGAAGTAGCTATCTAATTAAGGGCATATTATTCTGAAATTTGTTAATGGTTAGTTAACAAGTTTTATGTTCAAAACAGCAAATAAAAAAACCTGATTGCATAAAACAGTTTACTAAGAAGTGAATAATTATTTTTCACACTATTACACATTAATAAGAACTATTATACAATTATATTTATATAGTAACTTTATCACAGCTTTAGTTTTGAAAATTTAAGTGAGAATGTTTGCTAACTAACTTTAAATTGTTATAAAATAGATCCGGTAAATAAACGGTAATTCAAAATGAAAAATGATTAAAGGAGAGACAGACTGGTCCCACGCACGCAACGTATGTGATACATATAGACTCTTGATTTTGTAAGAAAAACTATGCATTAGAAACACACGTATGGTATGCAACGCAATTACACCGACGCAACATCCACTTGCGATATCCAAGATCGGTGTGGGAAGGTGGAGGGGATGTTCGTACACAATACCACGCGTATATCATGTAGGACCTCATAAACAAATAGACCTTTGCAATAGACAAAACGCGTGAAGGGTACGTTTTATCGTCAAAATGGGAGATGAAGAGCTCATCGATTTAGAAAGGCTATACAAATTTCTTTTATAATATTAAATATCTAGAAAATCATTGAAAGTAAAAAGTAGTTTATTTTTTTATTTTTATGCTAGTTACGATTGAAGATATGAGACATGATTTTATAAATTGCAAAAATGACTCATAGTATTTTGTACATATTCATGTATTTGGTTGCATTATTTGATGTTCTGACAAGTGATGTTGATCTACAGCGGTATGTGTGTCGGTATGTATACATAGTCTGTCGCCCGATATATGTGATTGCATAGAAGATTCGTATCTCCCACTCCTAGGAGTCAGAGTCAGTGACAGTGGTACCTGTAGCAACGGTCGGCTTCCTCCTTGCAGTCGCGCGCGAAGTGCCCGGTGCGGTTACACTTGAAGCACTTCTCGCGTTGCCGGTTGAACCCGGCGTCGCGGGACGGCACGCCGCCCTGCGTGCACTCGCGGGCGAAATGGCCGGTCCTATTACACTTGTAGCATACGCTCGAACTCATCGCTGCAACAATTGCAATTTGTCTTTTTATAGGATAAGGATTACAAAAGCGAGCACACAGCCTACTTGGTGGTAAAATGATACTGCGGTCAATAGATATTATCTGTAATCTATAGTTTATATAGTTCTATATACTTATACTATGTTCTCGGCGTAAACGCCCACTTAAGAGGATTTTGTTAAATTCAATTCTTAGAAGAAATAGAATGTTACAGATTGTTTATATATCTACATCTATCCTCGGTTAAGAATCCAAAAGCAGATGCGTTATCACCCTTGAGAACTAAGATGGAATGCCTCTTATGTAGTGAAACCTTTTAAATGAAGTAATTTTTGTTCACCGAATGTTGCACGCTTACATGCTTACTGGAAAGCATGCAACCTAGAAAAAGCCTTTTAATGTCCGAAATCCTTAGTCTAGCCTTAAATTACAATGGCAACTTGATCAGTTTTAATATTGCATTTAATATTGCGCCGTGGTGAATCGGAACTGAGTGCTTGTGTTAAATTTTATAGTTCACGATAAACCCGAGTTCCGAACCCCAGAATCAGTGGGTTTTTTTTAATTCTAATTTTAGTACTAATTCATAACATCTTCAGAGGCGAAAGAAAATATCGCGAGGAGTCCGGAATGTATGAATATATTTTTCGAATAATTTCTATGAATGTTGACTGATTAAGGGTGAATCAAGTGATAGAAATAAATTTTATTTTTTGTTATTATCGAGACGGACTGTGAATTGAACTTTGAATGACTGTTATCTTACTCCTTTTCTCAAGCTCGTAAATGTAAAGTCCCCTGCGGGATGGATCTTAAAAGACAGAACACGAATTTTCAATATTTGCTATACACTGCAGCGTGCGATGTGCTTCGACAAGCTGATAATATTATTATAGTTTATAATAAGAAGATTCTGCAATACCGACGACGTCATTGACCTATAACAATGGTTTGCTATTCAATGACAAATTAATGTAATTACTTATTAATGCTCTTTTCGAGAAACAACAAATACAGCTGAACAAATACATGTCGTGTAGTAGCTCAACAATTTGAAAAGAAAAAACTTTCCATGAGTATCATAAAGTCCACATCGAAAAATGCCTATAAAATTAAAACGCCTGGTGTCTGGATACTGGAATCGCTAAATTACTTGAAAAATGTGGCAAATACAGCAAAGAAATTAATGCAAATACAAATGTTTAAACTTTGTTACTTTTGAAAACGTGTTTAAAAAAAAATCATTTAAATATTTTCGTATGACGACGATAAAGATCACATTTAACTGCCGCAAATAGAAAAACATTTAATTAAATTTTTTTTCATTACGTTATTTTGGTTACTCAAGATATTTCGAATAGGGTCTCATTTCTTCTTTGAAAGTAAACTAAATTCACGATTTAGAGTGTAACAAAACTCAAAAAAATTGACAACATTAAAATTTCACATTTAACCTTGTACTTTGACCTTCAGGCTAATGACCATATTATTGAAAAACAAAAGGCGTGCTCTTTTCGCCCGTTTCAAAGTCACATGTGCAAAAGAGCGCACATTTTATTTACATTGTCTCGGTGCCGGTGACGTGTTGACCCTGAGGCTGATAACTCGGGCGCATGCGCCAAGATCACGGCGACTTACGACTGTTATTTTGATTGTCATCAATTGATTCATACGGTACAACATCTTGGGGGCAATAACGGAAATTTGAGGCGGAGGAATACAAGATGCAATTCAACTGAGATGTTGTAATGCAATATTAGCTAAGAATTAGGGTTGCCAACTGTTTTCTAAAAAAAAAATGGTAGTTAGGCAGTGGCGATGAAAAATAATTTCGTTCTTTTTTTCACACCTCAAATAATTGTTTTTAAAAACCAATTACACCTATATCTATCTAATGTATGAAATTGTAGGAATCTTTTGTGGAATACTGCAAAAGGATAATATATAAATATAAACCAACTTACAAAAGGCAGGTAGTGTAATTATGTTTGTAAGAATAGGCTAAATGTTTGTTATTATTTTAAATAGGTATATAAAATAACCTAGTCATTCTATCTAAAGCTAGGGTCCCACGGCCTGCTTTGTCACAGGTCAGACCGCGCCAGGTCAGACCAACAGGCCATGGGAACCATCGCATCCGATGAGGCCTGCGGTGGCCTGTTGTCGCCCGTCAGATCCATCGCGAGTCGCTAAGTTCAAAGGCGCGATGCGACAGTGCCTGTCGCGGCCTGTACACGGGCGCGTCTGCGTCGGTTACAATCGTTCATTTCAACTGCGGTGGCACCTGCGCGTTTACGCTGATTATGGAGTGGACGAACGAGCTCATATTCGAGTTTTTAACTCTTTATGAAAATGAACCGGCGCTTTGGAATAGTTCGTCGCCTCAACATAAAAACAAGAACGGCTTTTGTTGAATGACGACACCCACCAGCGTCGTTTCTTCTGCTTTCTTTTTAGTTGGTTTATCAAACGTTCACCGCTAAATAAAACCACAGCTGCTGCACACGCAGACTTGCGCTCCGTATCACTTAACATGTTGGAATGTCAGTCAACAGGCCGCACCAGGCCGGCACACGCCGTGGGAATGCTCAGTACGGGCCGCGACAGGGCCATTCAGGCGGGGCAACGCCTGGCGCGGCCTGTCGCCTGGCAGGCCGTGGGACCCTAGCTTAACCTGTAATGAATACAGCTTATAAAGGTCCACCACTGAACATATGCCACCCTCATAGATCGCCTCATATGGATATTCTGTCATGATTTATCAAGTTCAGTTTTTTTTTTTCAGTTGTTATCAGGAAGATGCTGCTGCACATCTCTTTTATTTTTCCTTTGTTGCCTCTTAGGACACCCATGAGATGATATGTGTTCTTACACATAGTCACACTTCACAGGTACATTATACGGGTAAATTTTAAAAACATTTAGAAAAAAAACTTTTAATAATAATTATAAAACAAATAAATTCTATATTTCACAAAGTACACAAAAGAGTCACAATATTAAATACTAAGAAAAAATACTAGAATGCTTACTAAACAGCTACATTAAAAGATTCATCACCTATTTTTTTTCCCTTAGGAGTGAAATGTTCTCTCCAAATTAAATTGGAACCATCTGTGTTTTAACTATTTAAAAAAAAAAGGATTATTAATATCGGTTTATAACTGGCGAAGATATTGTGTAACATACATACAAAAAAGACAAATACATCATGTAATATTGAATTCAGAACCTTCTCCTTATTATGAGCCTTAGGTAGATTAAAATTGTTTTGAATTAATGCAATTGATCATGCAGAGGTATTCATAACTGTGCAGTTTTTCCAGCTGCATGAAAATAAAATGTTGAGTGGACTAAGTGAAAGTAACCAATGTGAAAGTAAATTTTAATTATAAGTGGAAGCATAAAAACAGTCTCCCAGTTGCAATTTTTCATATAAATTACTTCACAAAAGAAAACAAAACCATTCTTACCATGTTTTGGATCACTGGTAAAAGAAATAGTAGTCTAAAATGTAACAGCTAAATACTCATTTAGTGATACTGTGAAAGTTGTAGTAGTAATTTATTTTAAAAGTAAAACAAGAGGGCCATGTTTTATGTGGCTCTAACTTTCTAAAGCATAACAGCTATGGAAATTTTAGGTCAGTAGAGCAATCACACTGAAAGCTATACTATATACAGGTTTAGATAGTATTAATACAGTAGCAGGAGTCATAAAACCATACATTGACATAATGTTATTTCAGTTGACCAGTTTTTCATTTAAAACATTACTTTTGAAGGACAAACTACTATTCAAATCATTATAAGTCTTTGTAAAATAAAATTATTGACAATGAAAAAATGACCAATTGAAAAGAATTTACTGATACAATTTCAAAATAACTTCATGAATAGGGCAATGATTGAAAAAGAACCCACATTACAGATAAGTAACCATAATGTCCTAGTAATGTTAATTAAATTTTCTAAAAATGTTTTATTATTAACATTAGTAGAAATATGTTGATAATTAGTTTAGTTCTGTGTTTTATTGACCTGAGAGGGCTGGTAAAAGGATTTTACCTTGTGTACACCAAAACTAAGGAAGTTAAGTTTTTTGTATTATGAAACATTTTATTTTTTATAGCATATATTACAGATTAACCACCTTACTTGTAATTGTTGATTATAGTTTACTTGAATTGAGTATTAATTATCTTTTCAACAGAATTAAATAATTTAAAATAAAAAAATTTGTACAACTTCAATATAAATTATTGAGAATAACTCAAAAACTATTGGTCAAACCTTGATCAAATTTATATGGGACCACATAAGAAGAAAAAAATAATTGAAATCAGTACACCCAGAAAAAAGTTATGAGGTAACAGACATAACATAATTAAAAATTTTGTACTGCCGACTTCAATATAAGTTATTAAGAATAACTCAAAAACTATTGGTCTGACCTTGATCAAATTCATATGGTACCACATGAGAAGTACCAGCTTTCAAATAAAAAAAGAATTATCGAAATCAGTTGAATTGAGTACAGTCTCCTTTTTGGAAGTCTGCAGAAAAAAACACAAAAATAAAAAGCCAGTTGCTAACCACTGGTTTTTTATTTTTGGTCATTAGGAGTATGCTGCTACCTATCTTCAGGTTTTGAAGTAATAAATACCAAATATAATTTTCTTCTCAAATTATTTAAAAAAGTCCAATATTTCTGGCAATTTACAACAGTCACGACAGAGTAGGTTGAGGTGTGTGACATGGTAATGTCATAGTTAACCACGGCCTACCTTCAATATTAAATTATTTAATTTTGGTTGAAAGTACGTAGAATAAACTTACAGTATCTTAAAAGTCTTGCAGTGGTATGCTTAGGTGTGTTACGGAAAGTAAGATAAGAAGAGATCATGAACATAGTCATGATATCTTCCATCTTAACTTCAGCCTTCCTTTTCTTATGGACTTTGCATTATTCATGTTCATGGTGATGTTATTTTTTTCAATATAGCCATCTTTGATGTTGTAAGATAACCTTAATATACTTCTTTCAAGCATAGGTTGGCTCCGACACAGAAGGTAGCATGTAGAAAATATTTTTGTTGCATTGAAGTCACTCTGCCCTTCATAGTGGGATTATATTGTTTAATTTGTGGTAGAGTTACACTGCAGCTCCATTATGGTTGTAGCACGGATGAGACTGCTCGACCGAGAAGGAACACACTCACAGAATACCCGCATGAAATAGCAGTTTAATGCTACTGTATTTTGTATGGTAGTGTAGAGAACTGGAGACACTTTTTACTGGAAACATTCATACATTCCAACTCTGTCTTCAGGGGTGAGAACGCATCAGTGTTTTGATTTTTAATTGAGGATAAATGGAGATGTATATGGGCCACAGCATCCACTTACCGTCAGGTGTGCTCATAAAAAGCCTATGATGCAATATATTAACTAGAATGGGGCTAATGATCAATTATTTACTGGCATTCTTAAGCCACAAATCTTAATACTTACCTTTACATGTCTGCGAATATAATAACCATACCAAGATATTTACATTAATCACACTTCATAACTTGTGGTCTATAAAGTAAGATGCGGTATTTTCTCAGATGTGTTATTAGTTTTATTTTGTGAAATTAGTTGAAATCATACCAGTGTTTTAGAGAGCTATAAGAACTAAACGGGACAATGATCACTTTTGTTTATCATATAGCTACATAATGTAGTAACTTACATGGCTCATAGTCAACTCTACTACGACTTACAATTCTCAATTAGTTACAATTACAATTGAATTCAAAGATCGCTATATACATAAGGTGTATTTATTGGTGTTTCATCTCAGTGTATTTTGTCTCAGTAAGTTTTATAAATAGATTTTTTAGATATAGTAAACATATTTAAATTTTACAAATTGCTATTTATAATAAATTATTGTTTTGTTCATTAATTGTATTGTTATTGTATTTATTCAAAAACCAAATTATATAATGTAAAAATATATCTAAAATGAACAGAATATTAAAACTGCATATCTTAAAATGCAAAAGGATTACTTTAAAAATATGATCAAGGTATGTATACATACAATATTAAAGTATGACAATATAATCTGAGTCATTGAGCTGTAAATGCAGAGTACACAACGATAATTCGTACTTTCCCACACGAAGTTCACGGTGCTAATGCGTCATTTGCTAGAATATAATATATTGTGTAAAAAAAGAAAAAGTTGACATGATGGCAGGATTGACAATACTATAAACGTGAAGAAAAATAAAATTCAAGCAAGTAGCCACGTTGCAATTATTTCCGAAATATTCATATACAAATGCAACACGTTTAATAAATTAACTTAGAAATACATAAGTGTCACAACGATATCAAAGTACTAACAAGCTAACCCCGTTCAATAAATCTATGTAGAAGGAAAAAACGCTAAAACAAATTAAACTAAAAATAAATTATCACACGCCATTTATTAAAGCTTATTAAACAGAAAACGCCATTTAACGTTGGTAAAATAAATACGCGGTACAGTTTGCGAACCACGTGTAGAAGCACCGGTAGCGCGGTATTCCGACATAGATGAAGAGTTTTCAACTTACCAATTAGTTGTGTAACTTCTTGAGCACTTAAAACACTATTCTTACGATCGTTACACGACCAACAATTGAATTTTAATTTCAAAAAAGCTTTAAATTATGACGCTAAGTTTGCAAGGAAGCCAGCCACCATCACTACGGATTCGTAAAAGACATTTCGAGCATAGACACAACAATAAAAAATAAAACGCTGCAACCGCTATTCGAATTGCCAGTATTAAAAAATATATTGTTTTTATCGTGCATTATTTCAGAATAATAAATGTTTAATGTACTTGTAAAAACTAATAAATTTAATTTTTAAATGTTAACAAAAGTAAAAAGTAGCATTAAATAATTATCACCTCAATAGAATTAATGTTAAGTCGTAATGAACTCTATTAAACAAGTACCCAGGACTCTTAGACCTAGCTTGCTACATATATATTTATCTATGTCTTAGACCATTTAACAAAAGCATTAAAAAGTACTCTGTGAAAAGCATGATTGTTCCCCTCTGCCGCGGTATTGTACTGCATTTATACGGTATTGCATGCGTTCTCGCGATACTCCTAGCCATTCGACGAATTGTTTGGCGAGATATTCGTGTGGCTTATGGCTACACGAAAGACCGTTTATAGAATCGAATAGAATAAAATAATTTTTATTCAATATATACTAATTATTCGCGGCCAAACGCTGGTTTCAAGATTTGACGCCAGAGGGCGCTCAGCTCGATACGGCGCGTTCATAACCGGTTAGCCGAGTGGGCAGTTGGCGGGAGTGTGTTGCTACCGGCCGCTGGGTCGAGTCGGGCAGTCGCTCAACGCGCTGGGCGCTGGCTGAAGGCAGTAGCTCGCTGGCAGCGGTACGGATAATCCGCGTATCTCGGTTATCGGTGCAGAAGTTTCGCGCGACCGGTGTGTGATCTAGATTTTAGAATTTGTGCGTATGACTTCGCTACGTAATTGTGATTTCGTGAAAACCACCTCCGTTTAGTTTGTCTAGGTTTTAAGTTCTTGACAAGAGGCTTGTATTGTATTTGACTGATTAAAGTAATTTCGTTGGAAAGTAATTGCTCCAATTATATAGTGATGGCGCATTGAAGTGCATTTTATAATATTTAACTTGCTCGGGGACGTGGAATTTGACCGAGAATCCTTTATCGTGGGCTTCTCCCGGTTGATTGTTTGGAAATCATCGTTTAATTATACCGTCGCGTTAAGAGCCTTTTGTGTGTTGATTCGGTAGCTAGTTTACGTGTCAGCTAGGTGAATTTTGAATTCTTATTGCGGCGTGGTGTTTAATATCGTACGAAGGAACTTAGTTGTGTTTGTAACGCTGAACCGTGTGACTCATGAAGAGATCGCGTTAGTTCCCTATTTGTAATTTGGTGATAAATGAATCCGGGACATTGAATGTTGAACTTTGAACTACTGTCCGTTACTGTGTCGGGTATCACGTGTTCGATTCTACGATGAACGTTGAATTGGTCGAGTTTAAGTTAGTTAAATGTACAATAAAGTTAATAGACTGAAATAGCGACCATGAAGAAAGAAACTGTCCATGGTGGACGCCTGCTGGAGTGATGCAGCATTGTGGGGCAGCATGGGAACCGTCGCGCTGCCAGGTCACCTCAGCTGGGCCAGGTCACCCTCATATACACACCACTAAACACCACTTTACATGCACATACTCTACCTACGGCCTGACCGAGCCTTGGGGCGGTCTTAGATTCGGATGCAGGTACGTACCAATTACGTTTTTTCCTAGCCTTCTCCTTATTTTGTAATATGATAGTACATTTTTCCATATGGCCATTTGGGCCCGACCCGCGTCTGCCCGTTGAATCTTCCGCTCATGGGCCCCGGGATATTTGATCTTTGCAGGGGCAGCTGTGGGCCGTAACACTTATTGAAAGTCTTTTTTTTATTTACCACTGGTTCGAAAAATACCACTGTCCTGAGAAGAACCGGCAAGAAACCCAGCGGGAATTTTTTTAAAACATATTTCACTTTACAATTATTTTATTTGTACAATTTTTAAATAAATTATAATAGGACCAGCGTGGTGGCGATCACCTTATTCCTTGATATTATAATCCTTTTTGTACAATTTTTTTTAATACAACATTTAAACTTCCTTATTAACAAATATTTGTACATTTACTGGGATTTTTTTAAAAACGTGTACATTGCACCCATAAATGAACTACTAATTCTGTGGAGCCTTGTAACTGGTTTTACTAGCTTATATAGCTAGGATATATATATATATATATAAGCATAATGTAATGTAATATAATATGTACATAAAAACATAAATATCAATAAGCTATTTATGTTATTATGTAAATATATTACATTTTCATAAAAATATTGCAATGCCAAAGTGAATATGTTTATTTCTCTAAGGGTATCTTTACAATTTAAGTTATAAATCACCCGTACGGCTCTCTTTTGCAAAACAAACATGGCTTCAATGTTAGTCGCATTACCCTGTTGCGAAATTCCATAAGACATCACGCTATGAAACAAACTAAAATAAACTTATTTAGCTGTCTCAACATTGGTGAGACTTCTAATTTTTCTTACAGCATATGCTGCAGAACTAAGTCTGATTGCTAATTTAGGTATATGGGAGCCCCGTTGAAGCTTCGCGTTAGTAGTAAAACCAGGAAAAATAGTGGTATGCACAAGACGCGACTCATCCCCAGGAACACATAGGTATTTGAATGTTTAACATTAGGTAATGTAACACGTACAGGATCGCCCCCGTCACTACATTAGATTTGATAGACCACAAATCCTCGCTAAAGAACACCGATTCCTTCCAAGGATGATTCGCGAGGCTATTGAAATCAAAAAACATCCTAATTTCAATAGAGAAGATGGCTGGGTGCTACCATCTGCTTGGGATCCCATAATTAATAAAATTAAATCCCAACCCAAGCATACAACTGCAAGACTTCATGATACTATAAGTTCATACTGCGTAGATCGGAACAAAAATTAATAATTTTTAATCTGGAGGTAGCCGTGGTTAACTATGACATTGGGACGTCATACACCTCAGTCCCCCCCGTGACCATGGGTGCTGTAAAGTGCTCGAAACGTCGGGAAAGTAAAATAAGTTAATATACGCGATAAAATCCGTAAAATTAGTTTTATTTAAAAGGTAATGTAAATTTAATACATTTTATCTTATTGCCGTTTAAGAGCATAAAACATAGTTGACAGGGTGTTCAGTTAAATGTCTGTAATATACATGTGCTTAGTCTCACAGACGTGCAAATATTTAGGTACATAAAACAAAATCTATCTACAAGTGGCGCACATAAATCATGAAACAAATTTTTCCATGTACTAATTTCGATAGAGCATTATTTACATTGTCCAAATTAATTGTGTCGTTTGAGTTTGAAAATTAAAGAGGTATCATCAGCAAATAATACTATATCGTGATTGCCCCTACAAGATAAGGTAAGTCATTAAAATATTAAGAACAGGAATGGACCAAGAATCGAGCCCTGAAGAACGCCCATTGATACTACCGATCCGGGGGGGGGGGACCTTTCCCATTGATAACGACTTTTTGAGTTCTGTTATTTAAATATGAAATAATAAGTCTACGTGCAATATTTTTGACACCGTAATGTTGTTACTTCCTGATTAACATCTAACGATGAACACAATCAAAAGCCTTGGAAAGATCATAAAAAAATACCTGAGGCAACTTTTGAATTCTCCCAGGCATTGAAAATATATTTCATAAGCTCAACACCTGCGTCAGTCGTCGAGCAACCCCTTGTGAAACCAAATTGATTTTCATTAAGTAATTTACTTTTATTAAAAAAAAAAAATAATTGATCTATAATTATTTTTTCGAACACTTTACTTAGAGTTGTTAGTACATAAATAGGAATAAAATTAGCGGGGTTTTAACCATTGAACTTGTTTATAAAACTTTTGTTTATTAAATTGTTTGATGTCGATGTTTGATGACTTTTATTACACACAAAACTATTTTTCAAATAGTAAAAACATGCGTGAGTGTCGTGGAAAGAAGTAAAAAAGATAGAATAATCTTACACTTTTTCTCGCCTAGCCCCCATCCGTCAAATTCGTACCAAACGATAAGGAACTGCGTTACAAAATTACCCCTCCTTCTCCTTACAGTTTCCTTTCACTGCTATCCATGAGCTATGTAAATAAAGGGGAGCACAAAATTTTACTACCGCAAATATCGCTCACCTCGACAACGTTGCCCTAAAAATTGTACAGTGCATCTGTGTTCCGCCGAGATAAAATAAAAAAGAAAACTCGTTTTTCTTCTTGCTACATTATTTCCTTACCACTATTACGACAAAAACATAACGTTACAGCCTATTAAAATCCATTGCTGATCATAGGCCTTCCCTACATATTATCTCATAGGGGGCAAATTTGTTATAGTCGTTATTAGAAACATGCTACTGGTCATCTTCGGATTTGCTTGCCTCTTTCGCCTCTAGACATGAGTGATAAATAACATCACGGTGAAAAAGTCACCGTGATCAGCTTAAAAATCATGATGACTAAATACGTCCCAATAGAAAGTTGTTCATTTGCGCCGCCACCGTACTATTTTCTCCGTTACTCCTGTCATTGATTTAACCAAACAAAACAAACTACGCGTACCTTGTTATAATTGTTTGATAAAAGAGCCATGTCCTGTGATAGGTACTTGTTACTATCCTGATCTGTGACTTGTTCAATCTTATTAGAACCTTGGTTAAACCACTGCTTATTACAGACAGGGCCTCCCAGCTCTTTTAGAGTCTACTAGATTTTCCAGCCGAGCGTGTTGATTAGTGAAGTTTCTATGGTATGATTGGTTCCGGCCATATAGTGATCAGAGCCGATCCTCTTTTGGGCAGTTCGTGTGCTACATCATTGCCCCTGGATCCATTGTGTACCTTTATCCATTGCGGTGTCACATTATTGTGTTTACATACCTTATTTAGTTTCATATATTAGTCTCGAGTTTACCGCTTTGTAACTCAGATCTTGTAGTACCGCTATGCACGTGAATTTTTCACCGTGATGTTATTTATAACTCATGTCTAGAGGCGACAGAGGCAAGCAAATCTGAAGATGGGCAGTAGCGTGTTTCTAATAACTACTAAAAATAAAACACTGTGGTTGCCATCCTGCTTGCCAAGCGTGGCAACTAATACAAATATACCCCCTAATAGGAAGTATATAGGGGAGCCTATGTTCAGCAGTGGACTTTAATAGGCTGTAACGGTAAGCGTTTGTTGTAATAGTGATAAGACAAAAATGTAGGAAGAAAAAAATACATTTTTTTTATTTTATCTAGGCTGAACACGGTTGCTCCGTGCGATGTTTAGGACAGCGTTGCCGAAGTGGACGATATTTGCGGCAGTAAAATTTTAAGCTCCCCTTTATTTCCATGAATCATGGCCAGCAGTGGAAGAAAACTGTAAGGAGAGGGAGGGAGTAGTTTTATTATTTGAAAAAATATTTTTGAGTGTAAAAAAATCATCAAACATCAATATCAAACAACTTAATAAACAAAAGTTGCATAAACAAGTTAGTTACCCTACCAAGCAATCACGAAGACGTCCCGGCGACATTTTCGCTGAATGTTCTGCAATAGTCGCCGCGCTGAGTGTTGAGGAGTTACATATGCCTACCGAAACCTTGCAAGCAATCACGAAGTCATCTACCATACGGCACCGCCTGCTAAGCAAATAGGAGCACGTCTTCAAAGACTTGACTCAATTCACTTACGTCACTTAAGAATATTAAACATAATACCACCAGGAAGTCACCTACCATACAGCACCGCCTGCTAAGCAAATAACAGCTCGTCTTTAAAGACGTAACTCAATTTACTAATGTGACTTAAGAATATTCAACATAGTATAAAACCCAGGGTTTAATTGTTGAAATCGTCCAGTAGTATTCAAATTAGCTTGTAAGTTAGGTAGTCTAGTATTCCTGTGAACTCACATTGTTACAGTAGTTAAGTTAATTTGTAAGTTAGATAGTCCATTATTCCAATGTACTCACGTTATCACAGTGGTTAAGTTAACTTGTAAGTTAGAAAATAAAAGTAATATAGGAAAAAGTAATCGTCTCCTTTCACATCAACCCTCCCTAAGCTGCCGCAAAGTTAAGTAATTCAATGGTTAAAACAATAATAAATAACAAAACCAAAGAAGTTTACTGAAAAGAAAAAAATTCAAATATTATATGTCACTTCTACAAGTAAGGCAAATCTAACGACAACCTGTATGTTCAAATCAAATAACTACTATTTAGAAGGAAACAAGGACATAGAAACACTCGTAATTTCATAAAGAAAAGAAATGTGTAATAAAATTTCAACTCAACTCAATGTTTTTATCTCTTCACAGCTTACTTACTTATATCAGTTATATCGATATCGATACTTAATTAAGTAAGTTGATAAGTGACTTAATTATATCGATATACTCAGTAGGAGCCTCTGATAAATAAATAAATATATAAATTATCACAGGTTACTTTAATACGCTATGTTTGACCTACGCAATTTTTGTTGAAAACAACATCGCCATAATATTCACTATATATCGAAATAATAAGATAAAACGTAAATTTTGGACATTGTGGAATATGAAAATCTAAATATTACTCTTTGGTGGGATCTACAAATTTCTCATGGAAGAGACCGATGTGAACCTGCAGGGCTTGACAGATCTCTCAGGTACCGACATTTTATTGGACCAACTTAGTTTTTTAATGAAGGTAAATAGCGACACACCTTCAGGTCTCTAAAGTCGCTTTTGTTGCTTAACCGATTCGTTGCGACACCAATTTTCGACAAATTTTAGCTGTGGCAACAATTTTCGATAACTTTTACCTTCACTTTTCGTCATTTTTTAAGATATTGTAGCCTTAATCTGCTCTGCCGCATTTAAGATACGCCTTCGAAGTTCTTCAAGAGAATTCACTGGGGTCACGTAGACTACTAAGTCCTTCATGTGACCCCAAACGTAGAAGTCTAGTGGCGTCAGATCAGGACTTCGCGCAGGCCACGGAATTGGCCCTCCCCTCCCAATCCACCTGTTTGGATATTGGCTATTTAGCTACTCTCGTACAGATAACTAGAAGTGAGAAGACAGCCGTCATGCTTAAAATCAAATTACTTTTAATTTCTTCTGAATCATCTACTAATAAGTTTTCCAAATCATTTCGCAAAACATTTCGTAAATTTCCCTGTTTAAATTTTGTAGCGACGTTGTTTCTTTAGGTATTTTTTTTTCTTCACTTTCAGTGCCCAGTAATGAAGACTATGGTAGTTTATAATACCATTTCGGTCAAATTTGTACTCATCCGTCCATAGAATATTTCTTAAAAAATTTTCTTCGTTTGCGTCGGCGTTTAGCATGAAACGACAAAACTGGAGTCTACTCGCAGAATCGCCTTCGTATAGCGTTTGTCCCGGTTGGTAATGGTACGGATGTCGGCCTTACAGGTGCACGACCGACCATACCTTTCACTGGGACGTACCGAGCCGGCGTGCTACAATATTCGTTCAGAGGTTAGGGTCGTCAATAAAATGTTGCATAATTGTTTCTTCACCGTCAGGTGTAAAACGTCGTGGTCTGCCAGTATGTCGCTTTCACTAAATCGTCGATAGGTAGCTCCGAAGACAAACGAGGTGAAGCTGGTGATCAGAAAAGCAACGTTGGTATTCTCTTCGAGCCCCAGCAACGTTGTCGTCAGCGAAACCATAAGAGTAAATGATGTCGACATATTTTTTATTATATTATGACGCCATTTTAACTTCGACGCACAAAAACAGTAACAATGAACGGTCAGTAACAGATAACAGTAACAGCAATAATAACAATAATGATAACGACTGAAAACAATAACAAATGAATTAAAGCAATGAGAGTTTATTAGAAGGAAGTTTAAACACGTGCTTGCACAGCGATAGTAGAAACTTACTAACGAGCGTCGCTACGACTCAATTTAAAACGGCCGTCTGTATTCAAATTCAGAATAGTTGTCAACAACCATTCAGACGCCAAGTGACTAAAAGTGTGCAAGTTCGTTCCTAAGAGCAATCATTCTTTCCCCTTCTCTACCTGCGTTAAGTAAAAGACCCTTTTATTATAATTAGTCGTTGATTTCACCGGGATAAAATATTTTTATGTTTTATGTCATAGTAATTTTTTGAAGTACGTCACATTTTATGATACAAGTGTAAATATAGATTATTTTTTTATTAAATTCTATAATTTTTATTGTGAATACTTTTTGTACTTTTTATGTTTGTATTCGCTTGGTTAAAGCTTCAAGAAAACAAATAAACTTAAAAGAAAGCATACAAAAAAAGAGGTGTTATTTCTATTTACAATTTAATACGAAATTCAGGCTGATTGAAAAACCTTTAAAATCCGTATATCTCAAGACTTGTTCATTTCCGGCCATACATATGATGGGTCAAATTTGTAGCATTGTGACTCCTCTATCATGCCCTGCCAGGAAGTTGTCGAGTTTCCAGTAACCCTGTATAATATGGTTTTTAAGGAGGAGTTAATTAATTAGATTTTTGTGTTTGATTAATAAATATCATTTCATAAATTCGTACCTATGTTTTATTGAGATAAAATATACCTTATAATTATCGCTTACCTAATATTTACAAATAATTACCTACATAATGAAATTAATAACTTAAGTACAATAACGCATAGGCGTCAATCTTGGAGAATCACTATTCAACCACTCTCAACTATTTACCGCTTTGTAACTTAGATCTTGTAGTACCTTCCTTATATATTACTCTTTGTGTAGTACCGCCATGCACGTGAATTTTTCACCGTGATATTATCTATCACTTATGACTAGAGCCGACAGAGGCAAGCAAATCCTAAGATGACCAGTAGCGTGTTTCTGATAACGACTAAAAATAAAAAACTGCGGTTGCCATCTCGCTTCCCAAGCGTGGCAACTATAACAAATGTGCCCCCCATGAGATAATATCGTCACTGGAAAGCCAATACTACTTAAGCGCCATTTTGGCTAAAATGAGTTATATATATCGTTGGATTGGATTTTTTTTTCTGCTTCGATTGGTCTATATTTCGTGATGATCTGAGCACTTTTTTGGCGCTTAAGCACTGCAAAAGTATGGTATTTATCATAATTTTCACGTTTTGACAAATACTTAATACTTACGTATACAAATTATGATTAATTTTTAGTCATTGTCAGTTTAGTATTTTTCTTTACTGACAACAGACATTTAAATTTTGTTCAGCAACTCAAAGTACTGTAGTTTAAGTCATTGATATAACTTTAGTATTTTTTGCCGGCCGTAAATACTAGCATATTATACAGATAAGTAACTTTGCCTTATGTAGAAATTGATAAGCATGGCGCGTTAGTATATTTTGTTTTCGCAGTTTTCTTAGAGGGGACGGTTTTAGTAACTTTGCTTTACATATCTAAGTATTTGAGTGTCTATTTAGAATGTTTTACATTCAATGAAATCGAATAATAATTTATTAAGTATGGATTATTTTACTTGACAAAATATAAATACTTGGTTTAGCATGTAGATGTGTGAAAAACGTTAAAAAATATTCAGTTAAGTCTTTCGAAATTTCAAAACTTTATTTACAATTTTACATAATACTTAATTTTATCTACAATATTAAAAATGAAATTAAAATTTGTTTTGATTATGATTTGTTAAGGACGTACGTACTATTTACATTTTGATTTACAAAAAGTTTTAAATACGCCATATGGCCAAAGTATGTTTAAAACTATGTTTTATTATACGTCGCAAATTAGCTTTATATAATCTTACTTTTTATGAGTCCAGAACTAGAGAAGTCTATTGTTATTCTTGGACTGAGACAGAAGGCAAACGTGGAGCTAAAGAAGTGTGCACCATCTTAGAAAAATATATCAAGATGGTAGACGATCGTAGGTCAGTCAAACATCTTTTGTTTTATAGCGATGCGTGTCCCGGACAAAATAAAAACAGAATTCTTCTTGTATGCAATTATACTCGTCTGCAAAATTACAAGAACATTGCGAGTATTCAAATGAATCATGTCTATTTCTGAAAACTTTGTACATCAAAGATATTTTTTATAGGATAGGGTAACAAACGAGCACACAGTCCTCCTGATGGTAAGTGATTGCTATGACCCATAGACATCTACAATTACCCTCAATGAATAATCAAAATGCAGATACGTCGTCACCCGTGAGGACTAAGTTGGAATACCTCTTTTCCAGTAAAATGGGTCTCCGTTTCTCTACACTCACCATACGAAACAGCAGTTGATACTGCTGTGTTTCGTATGGTGAGTGCCTTTCACGCTGGTATTCTGTGAGAGTGTGGTCCATCCCCGGTTGAGCCGACCCATTCGTGCTACAACTATACTACTAATATAGCTGCACCATGGCTCTACCACGTATTAATATAATAGTTCTTGAAATGCATGACTATGAATATGAAAATTTTCCATGTGCCGTTAATGTTCAGGACACCCTTCAAGATACCGATGTAGAAGATATTACCTAATTATAAAATTTAAAAATAATTGATTTCTTATAT